ATCTTATTGCCTGAATACCATCTCTATGTGCTATAAATGTTAATTAACTGTCCTGTACCCAACAATGTAAAAGAAGTATGTGTTTCTCAATTTTACCTTTTTAATCCAATCTCAGAGATTTCTTGGCTTTGTTTTCTCCTGCCCCCTTACTCTAGAGCCAGTGGAGTTCATGGAACCCTTTACATCTCCTCCTTTTTCTAGTTTTTGAAGCAATGTATTTTTTTTCATTTTTGTTTCTTCATTGTTGTTCGAGTACAATTGTCTCCATTTTCCTCCCTGCCACTTCCCCCGTCCCTCCTATCCCCACCTGTCTGCTTTGGCTTTGTCCATGTGTCCTTTATACATGTTCCTTAATGACCCTTCCCCTATTTTCCCCCATTATCACCCTCCGCCTCCCCTTTGGTTACTGTCAGTTTGTTCTTTATTTCAATGTCTCTGGTTGTATTTTGCTTGCTTGTTTGTTTTGTTGATTAGGTTCTATTTATAGGTGAGATCATATGGTATTTGTCTTTTACCACCAGGCTTATTTCACTTAGCATCATGCTCTCCAGTTCATCCATGCCATCGCGAAGTGTAGGAGCTCCATCTTTCTTCCTGCTGTGTAGTATTCCATTGTGTAAATGTACCGTAGTTTTTTGACCCACTCATTTACTGATGGGCACTTGGGTTGCTTCCAATACTTAGCTATTGTAAATTGTGCTGTTATAAACATTACACCTTTTCTAATGTATAAAATAAGCTTCAAAATTTCCATTCTACAAGGCATTTTCTCAAACCCTTGAGATTTTGTTTTCCAGCAGTTGTCATCAGTTTGACTCAAATAAACTCATAAAAATTCTTACAGATTTGAACTTCCTTTTATATTGACAAGGGATAATATCCTTCTTTATTTTGGTTTCTTAGGCAGCCTGGGGCTAAGGGTCTCAGACTTACATATATAATATCAACATGAGGATTCTCATATCATAATTTTGTGACCAAATATCCAGGCCCTTCTTTAGTTTCGTCTCTGTCCCTGTTTGAGTGACTAGGTCACTTCGCAATCTAAACTCTGACTCTGTCTACCTGACAAGCTGCATTCCCTGTTTCACCACAAAACATTTTATTAGTTTGTTTTGCAGACTCCAGAGGGAACTGAGGTGTTGGCTTATGCCTTGTGATCCTGCCTATCCTGCTGACCATGTCTTATGGCTCCAACTGTTGGCCATACTTGTGACTCCATCTGCTGTCCATGAGTCACCTAAAACTACTCATTGTTCTTATCTCACAACCCCATTTATTCACCACAGACTCAGCTGACCCTTGAAAGTCCAGTTGCTCCCACCAACCAGAAAATGAATGATACAGATTTATGTTCTTGTTTCCCTAGTAACCCATCCCTTTGACTCTTGCTTTGTAAACCCTTGCCTTATTCTTCCCACTTCAGAGTGAGTTTTCAGTTCAACACAAAGGTCTTTGATTTGCAAGTCATATCAAAACAAAACACTCCTTAATTGCTCAGAAAAGCCCTGTGGAACTTTTGTTTACATACATTAGATGTAACCTTTAGATCTAGCTCTACCCTGTCCTTTTATAGGAAAGGGACTCTGTCCCAGAAGCGCTGCCCGCAGTCACATAGCCAGTTATCTGGTAAGTGAAGCCTCAAATGGCTTCTCTCTTCTTCCACTGTCATTTTTATATCATGGTACTGCCCCTGCTTCTTACACAATAACAGAAACAGCTAATTCCTCCCTACCTCTGAGGGTGGGAGAGAGCAGATAAATGCCCCAAATAACAGACCTTCCCAATGTTGCAAATCCTCACACAGGCCTTGCTGAAATGGACCGGGTATCACCTCAGAGTGAGGGTGGGACAAGTGAGGTCCACCTATTTATTACCTGTGTACCTTGTGAGGGATGAGCCCACAGTCACTGTGAAGTAATCTCAGCCACGAGGCTACTTCGCTCAGATCTTAACCTCAAGGGCCAGAAAATAGGAGGGTATCTTCATTCAGGGCTTTGACAGGCTTTGAGAGAACACTTTCCCCAAATTCCCTATTTGGTCTGATGCTAATGCTTGCTAGCAAGCCATTCTTCTTTGTTACCTATGACAATGAAGGCTGTGAAAACAAGAACCATCCCAACAATTGGCATTACCATATGGAGGGCATTGTACTAAGTGCTTGACATGCATTATATCATTTAGTTAGTTCTCACCACAATGCTGTGGCATAGGCACTGCTATTCTCCCCAACCCACAGATGAGAAAACTAGTGAAATTAAGCACCCTACCCTAGGTCCCACAGCCAGAAGAACTAGAACTCCATCCAATCCAGGCAGGCTTTAAAGGTTGCACAAGCATCAGCCAGGTGGCTTAAGGTAAGTCACTCACCTCTCAGAACTTCAGTTTGTGATGTCAGCTGGGATTAATGATATTGTTACAGGGGGGATCTGGCCAGACTGCTGGGCCAAGCGAGCGGAGGGACCCCCGAAAGAGGTCAGGAAGTGCCAGAGGTCAGCAAAGCTGCAGCTGGTGCTTGATAGATTGCCATACCCTCCAGTGAAGGTAAACAAACTAGTAGGGCTCATGACAGAGCTGGAGGAAGCTTGCACAGAGTGTGCATGGGCTGAAAATGTCACAACAGATGTGTACCATGGAGGTTTTCGTGATGGCAGGAGGAGGGGCAGAGATGCTGTGCGGGCTGATGGGTATGGTGGACGCTAGCCTGGAATGGCTGGGAATTTGGAAGCTTTCACTGCACATGGAATTCTGGGCCCAGACTTTCAAACGGAGGAGGTGCAGGAACTTGCCCTTTTTTTTCTTCCCCTCGCTCTCATGGTTGTGAGCCTGGAGTTCTCACAGGACCCGGCGGGTGCTGGGCTCCACTTGCCCCCTTTATCCCTTGCCCTTGTTCACCTGGTCAGGTGCGGGCTGGTGCTGGGGCACACCCCACTGACAGCAGCCCACAGGACACTGTGGCTCTGCTCTGCACGGGTCCCTGACATTGCCCCTTCTCTCGTTCAGATATCAGCACACAGATACATGGCCCAGAGGCACGAGCAGAAATGGGCACCAGACTCCACAGATGGAGCCCCTGGCAGGACCAGTGGCGTGGTCAGCAGTGGCCACGAGCCCCAGGAGAGGAAAGAACTTGTGGTGAGGCAGTGACGATGCAGACCCCACAAGTGCACACTCCACGGAGAGAGCCTGAAGCTGGAGACTCGTTCATGTAACAGACATGAGCAGACAGATGTGAGTGGAGTGAAGTGTCTGTATGCTGACTCTAGCTTTGGAGGTGGCTGGGTTCTATCTGTGTTTTGCAGAAGAGATTGGCCTGGATCCCAGGAGCCCCAGCTCCACCAAATTGAGCAACCTTTTAATAAAGACCTCTTTCCTTTCCCATCAATCTTTGTGTTTTGCCTGTGTTTGGTGGCAGGTGGCCAAATCCCACTTTGTTGGGTAACAATACCTGCCTCGAAGGTGTGTCATGCCTGTGAAGTGCTTAATATAGACTCCACACTGCAGCCAATTCTTCATACAAAAACGTGATTTTAAGGCCCTCTTCCTGTTATTCTCATTTACTATATAAAAAACATGGGAGAACAAATATATTCCTTCTCTTAATACTTCAATGAGAATAAGAATGAATGGAGGGCCTAGTGAAGACCCTGGGAGACCAGGGGGTTATGGACACAGGAGAGAACCCAAAGAACAGTTAACACAGTTTAGTCTAAGTCTGACAGTCAGTGAAAGACAGGCTATTACCCATGTCATAAAACTAGACAGAGGATATTTATGGACTGGACAACAGGGAGCCTCATTTGACTAGTGAAAGGAGGGCACCTTTGGGATTCCCAGTGAAAAAGTGAGCTCACTTCTATGGTGATAATACAAGAGCCATTACGTGGGCCAGCTACAGAGTGCCAATGCCAGCATTTACACACAGCCCCTCACCTCATCCCCCACAGCAACCCCAGAAAGTAAGGATCATTTTGCCTATTTTATACAAGAGGATACAATCCTAAATCTGCTTGATTCATAAGCCCATGATCTTAAAACTGTACTTACTAGAACAGGCTGGTTGCAAGTGGAAAACAACAAAAAGAGGAAACAGAATTATGAAAGCAGTATTTCACAGATTTCCTGAGTAAGAAACCAAAACTAGAAACTAGAAACTTGTACTCTTCTCTCTTTCTCTCTGTGTCTGTCTCTCCTCCTATGCCCTCAGTCCTATTGTACAATCAGCCACTCCATACTTCTGAGGTTATGTGCTACAGATCCGTCTTCTATCAGACCCTTTTCAAGTTCCCAGGAGAATCATATTGGTCCCGTTTGAGTCAGGTGTCTTCTAATGTTTATACTGGTTGGGTACCAGTACAAGCATGGCAGGCAGAAACCACCCCTGGTAACTGAAGGGAATAAAGAAAGGGGATTGAAGCACTGGCTGGCGTAGCTCAGTGGATTGAGCGTGGGCTGCGAACCAAAGTGTTGCGGGTTTGATTCCCAGTCAGGGTACATGCCTGGATTGCAGGCCATGACCCCCAGCAACTGCACATTGATGTTTCTCTCTCTCTTTCTCCCTCCATTCCCTCTCTAAAAATAAAAAAATAAATAAAATCTTTTAAAAAAAAGAAAGGGGATTGATGTTTGGGGTGGATGAACACTGGAAAGGTATCTTCCTAGCTGTACTACTTCCCTATAATATGTTCAAGCATTTATTTATTTATTTCAGAAAACTCAAACCTAACATGACCTGCATTAACATAAACATTAGTTGAGAAATGTGTAATAAAGATTATAGGTGCCTAAAGACAAGTGCTTCAGACAGAGAAATGAGCAAACCTGGAGTGTATGGTAGTCAAGTAAGTGCAGCAGGCCGGCTGCCTAATTTAAATATTTTTTAGTTGCTATGACAGTGCTGTCTGATAGGGAAAAAAGCAAGCTACAAACATAATTTTAAACATTTTAGTAGCCACTTCTTTTTTAAATGAAAGAGGTAAGTTCATGTTAATAATATATTTTATTTAACCCAACATCCATATTATCATTTCAACATGTAATCAATATTAAATAGTAATAATGATCTACTTTACATTTTTGTACTACATCTTCAAAAATCTGATATGTGTGTTTCATTTACAGCACATCTCAATTTAGATACAATATTTTCATTGGAAATATCTGATCTGTATTAGACTTCCTAAAATTTACAGTTAAATAAGTAAAGTTGTAATCACATGTTCCATTATTTTATACTATCTCTCATTAATTACACAGGATACAATTAATTCATGTCATGAGTTTCAGGTACATCCCACTCAGCTGACCCATCACCCCGACTGCTCCTCCTGTGCAGAAGTGATCATCAGTGAAATGCCATGCAGAGATTGTGGGCCCCTACCCCAAAAGACAAAAATAGCTAGAAAATGGGAGATACACTCATTCACCTCTTTGTTTACTCTAGATGATAATAAATAATTTTTTCATTGATTGACTAAACAGTGTTTTAGTAATTTTTGAGGGGGTTTTTTTGTATTTAAACAACCTAGTTTCCTTAGGGAGAGTTTTTCTGAAATTCTATAATTGCTTGTGGGGGTCAGGAGATGCTGATAAGTGCAAATCACTGAAGACAAAAGGCAAGCAGCTGACACTGTCTCCTGTTGGCAATTCTTGTGGACAGTAGGTATTAGCAAGAGACAATGGTTGGTGTGCAGAGCACCAAGGAAAGACTTCCAGGTTGAATGACAAGTTGTCAGCTACCAGTAGAAGCCATTTGGATAATGGTCTAAAAGTAAAATCTTTTAAATACAGCCCACATCTGACAACCTCTGGTCTGGTGCCAGGGAAAGTCTCCCACCAGACAACGTACGTTCTAGTCCCTTTGGCCTAGGTCTTACACTCTCTTCTCTTTGTTATTGCTAAGCCTCATGGGGCCTCGACTTTTCTTATGCTTTTTCTTATTAGTATTTTGATTTGAAGAAGGTAGTGACAGCTCCATCTCCCTTTTCTTGGCATCCCAGTCTTGGTCCCGCTGGTCCAGCAGCAGCCCCTTCTGCCTGGCAATTCTGCGGTGGTCACGGCACTCGGGCTCGGCCCTAGGGAAGGGGGAGACAGTGACTCTCAGAGACCACTCAGGAGAGATGGCCAGGCTTTGAAATGGACCTCTCTTCTGACCCTCTGCACACAGCCTGGGCACCTCAGAGGTCCAGCCCAAAGGAAGGAGGCCAAGTTCAAGCATTTCCAAGTGTATATTAGGGAGGCCTTAGACACTAAAAAAACTACTTGGAGGTGGAGAAAACCAGAGTGCCAGAGTGAGATGTTATCAGAATCAGACAGTTAGGCACATAGCTTGAAGAAGGTAATTCTTGAAGTGCTAATTCTTGAAGTGCTTGCATTTCTACAATGAACAGCATATTACTAGAGGCTGTTTTTCTTAATTTATGTGTATTTTTATTGTTCTTAATTATGAAAGCCATGTATGTTCATTATAAAAAGTTTAAAAGTACAGAAACATATATGAAAATAAAAATGGCTAATAATTGTGTATGTACTGGATGTATAGATGGATTCATGTAAGGAATGGTTATTGGTGATAGGTAGGTCATTAGACAGATGGATGAATAGATTGTCACACACACATGAACAATGAGAAGTGTACATATGTACTGGTATATATATGGGTCAAAGGTGAGTATGTGACTTGCCAAAAGGCATCGGTGAAAGGCACTTCACAGAAATAAAATTTGAGCCAGCATGAAGACCAGTGGAATTTGAGAGAACAGTATGTAAGTGCAAAGCATTATACAAAGCATAATTCATTCAGGGGATAGAAAATCTGCATGTCCCTCAATTTCCCTTCTCCCAATAAGCTGGCAGTGACCTTTCAATAATCAGATCACATACATTGTGTCCCTCAATATTCATTGTCCCTCCTCTGCCCTGTTCTTATGACCCTTGTCACTTCTATCTTATATTACTGTCATTTATGTCAATAAGTTATCTCTTGTCCCTATTAGGGAACTTCTTGATGTCCCAGTACTGTATCAGATTTATCTTTCGATCCTTTTTAGTATCCAGTTCAATGCCACACACATAGTAGGACTCCAAAGTATTTGTTGAATGAGACAGGCACTACTTAGTGAAGATGGATCAGAAGTTGAATTAGCTAGGATCCCTCAGATATTCAGAAAATTGTCAAATACTATCTAGGCTTCTTTTAAACTCTCTTACATTCTTTCTCTTGATCATGTTCACCCAGGAGCTCACTCAGTTGCAACGTGAGTTGCAAGGAATTTCTAAGAAATTCCTTATGATCTTTTTACCTATAATCTAATTGCCTTCAATCCTATCTCAACAATACTTCTGCCTCTCCTACTAGAAGAGTAACTTAGCTGAGCATCTCTTTTAGCTTGTCATTTCTTTAATGAGCTCACACTCATATGTTTGCCCAGCTCCTTATGGCCAACCACTAGCCCACCTGACCTTGTTCTCCACTTCTCTCTGGTGTGACACTCTGCTTAGCCAGGCCGCTCACTTTTCCACTGCCTCTCCACCTCCTCACATGTACATACAACCTGTGCACATTTCCAACCTGGTGTCTTTCCTCCCAATCAAGAATCTTTTTCCTTCCTTCATTAGCCAGGTCTTAGCCATCTTTCAAGGTCCAGATTCATTTCTCCTTAACCAGGATTTCTTCTCTCTAAACCCCATGACCATCAGAGGGAAGTTCTTCATGGGAGATGACGGTAAGTAGCGATGACTTACACATGATGCGTTTTTTTTTTTTTTTTTGTCTGCTCAGCACTCTCTGCTCACTTGTCCTGGTAACAGCACTCCCAACTATTTGGAGGAACCACTCCTCCCCCACTTCACTTATCCTGGGGTGCCTTTCATGCTCAGCCACCCTTTGGCCACTGAGAGGGGCCAAGATCACTCAGAGAAAGTCAGTGGAGGGAAGCCAAGGGCAGAACCCTGAGGAATTTCACCAATTCACTCAGGACTGAGTAAAAATAGGTGCTTAGAAAAAATTAGGAGGAGAAATAGATCAGTAGATGGAGAATTAGAAAAGAGTAGCATCAGCTGCAGCAAAAGACAAGCGTTTCAAGAGTATCAGATATCAAATTAAGTGGAGGCAAGATATGAACTGAGAAGAGGCCATTGATTTGAGAGCAAGACTCCTTGGCAGCACGGATGAGGGCTGATTTAGCACAATGATAACTCTTATACCATGTCCCATTTTCCAACTTGCTGCTGTCCTACCTCTCTTATCTGAGATCATTTTTGTATAATCTAAAATAATAATTATAATAATTATATGTTATGGCATTAAAATGATAGTAATGTATAATTACAAAAATTATAATTTTGTATAATGTATAAGTAATAGATTTTACATAACCTAACACACAATAGTTTCTACACCAAATTTGTCATTTCAGTAAAAAATGAATAAAAACAACTCAAACAATAGTTGTCTGAATTTCCTCCTTTCATTTTCGTTGACCTAAGATCACTGAGTCAGCAAAGACGTTGGTCACAAGCTCCTGTTTCTCTGTCCTTTCAATAGTGAGAAATGAATGGAACTTACTTCTCCAGGAATGCCACACAGGCTTTCTGCCCGTAGATCTGTGCGATCCTCTTTGGTGTGTCTCCAAAGAAGTCGGGGGCATCGATGGCGGCGTGCAATGCATGGAGAGTTTTGAGCACGTTCAGGTGGCCTGACTCAGCTGCAAAATGAGCTGGGGTCCAACCCACATCAGTGACCAGGCAGGGTCTGGCTCCATATCGTATGAGGAGCTGCAGCACCTCCATATTCCCTTAGGTGCGCCAAGAAGAAATAGGAGAGGATTAAGATTAAAATATCTCTGCCAGCCGGAGGCCAGGGCTAATTTAGGCAGCATGAAAGAGGGGAAGAAATTGGCCTTCAAGGCCCCTCCATCTTCCTAGCATCCTTCCCTCCTTCCCTTTTTTCTCCTTAGGAAGGACCCATCACCCCCCTCCCCTTACGCCTGAAGAACTGAGCTCTCACCCAGGGTCCAAGGCCCTGTAAGTATTCCCTCTACTCCTTCCCAGGCACTCTCCTCCCCGTCCATTCCTGCAGCCCTAACTGGAAATAGTGCTTTCTCTCCCAAGTCACTCCACCCCTTCCTATGCTGGCACCGACAGGGCTGGCTGCTCTTGGCAGTCCCAAGGCTGATTTCAAAAACAAATATTTTGCTACAGCATGGATGGACCTTGAGGGCATTATGCAAAGTCAGACAGAGAAAGACATAGGTGAGTCAGACAGAGAAAGAGAGATACCATATGACCTCACTTATGTGTGTGATCTAAAAAAAAACTGAAGCCAAGCTCATAGGTACAGAAAAAAAGATTGTATTAGTGGATTCTAGAAGTGGGTGGTGGGGTGAAATGGGTGAAGGTGATCAAAAGGTACAAACTTCCAGTTATAAGATAAGTTCTGGGAATGTAATGTGTAGCCTGGTGACTATAGTTAATCATACTGTACTACATATTTGAAAACTCCAAAGAGAATAGATCTTAAAACTTATGACAAGAAAAAAGATTGTAACTATGGATAGAGATGGATATTAACTACACTTTTTGTGGTGATCATATTACAATACATACAAAAATCAAATCATTATATTGTACACCTGAAACTGATAAAACATTATATGTCAATTGTACCTCAATTAAGAATATTTGAAGTCCCACATACATTATAGCTAGGAAAGATTGATTGTATAGGCTTTCTGCTCAGATAGGTGGGACTTCTTATCTGACAATAAATACCAGTTACTAAACACCAGTTACTAGTTTCTATGTCACCCCAGACAAGCAATAAATGTCTACAGCTCAGTTTCCTCATTTGTAAATTAAGGATATCACCACTTACTTCACTGAGTTCTTGTGAAGTAGAAATAAAATCACAGACATGAATTACATATAACATATAGCAAGTGTTTGCTAAAAGGTCTCTGATATAGCTACCATGACATTGCACTTAAATTTTTGCAAAATACTCCCAATTGATTTCTCTATAGCCAGTGTTGCTTCCTGCCAATCCATGCTCTGAGCACTCCTTTGGAGGTTCTAGCAGGGGAGCACAGCTACTCATATACCCTTGACCGAAGACCGGTCCTCTCCTCTAGTTGGGAAGGTTGTCCTCTTCGACCGAGTGCACAGCTTCGGGAGGGACGCACATGGATCGGTGAGGGACGAAGGGGACACCTGCCTAGCCAGCCAGATCAGCCGAATCAACCCTGGCGATCAATGGGGTGACAGATGTAGCAGCCAGATCTCCCTCACATCCCCTGCCAATCCATTCTTTATACAGGAGATAAAACAAATTTTTAGAAAGCAAAGCGGACTGTAACATTTTCTTAGTTAACATTCTTCACTGACGTTCTATTGCCAAAGGCCTTGACAAGCCCATTGGCTGAATTTTTGCCACTATCCTCCTCCAATTCTATAACTGAGCCATGTTAGGCATGGGATATACAGCAACAAACAAGAAAAAGGCCCTGTCCTGCTACAGAAACAATGCTTCATTCCCATTAGAGGTCAGGAGGGCAGAGGACCAATATTAATTGAGAGCAGACGATGTGCTGGGCACAGTACACCCTTTATCTCACTGAATCCTCACTACAAGACTCCAAGGTAGCATTATTGTTCCCATTATACAGATGAATAAACTAAGGCCTACAGACATTAAATAACTTGGTAAGGTGCTATTCCCAGTAAGTGAAGGTGCCAGGATTGAAATGTCCCAATTGGCTCCCAAGAAATGTTCTTCTACTTCCCCACACAGACTACTGACCGGTGCCTTCATGAATGATGGACTTAAGGGGATGGGTTCTACCTCAGCATTGTCCACTCACCTTTGATTGCTGCCCAGTGAAGTGGGGTTCGGTCATTCCAGTCCACATCCTTGTAGTTTGGGTCACAGAGACCTTTCTTCAGAATCTTTTTCACTGAATTGTACTCCCCTGCAGCCACAGCTTGGTGGAGCTTGGTCATGTCTGACATTTTGGTCAATTCCATGACAAAAAACAACTGTGGGAAAAACATGCCACTTAGGAATTCTCCACAGCTTTTTATTCCTGGTGAGGAATCTTTATCATAAATTTGCATCCAGGTTGCTTCATGTGTGTGCTCTGCTGAGTGTATTTGGATCCTAGCTCCTGTGGTTAGTGTGTGTCCCTCACCTACCCAAATCTATTAATGGTTCCCTTCTGCCTCCAGGACTACAGGCTACATACAGTCATGGGCTGGCACTTGTTATTTGTCCTCAAACCACTTTCCAGGGCTGGTAGCGTGACTCTGAGTTAATTGTGCAATTCTGTGCCTTACATTCCTCATCTGTGGAACGAGAACAATGTGCTGAGGCTGTTGTAAGGGTACAGTGACAATCCACATGAAAAGTTTGTACTGGGTACAGAATATATACGCCATGGAAATTAAATACCATTGCTACGTCAATTCAGGAGATGGACAAAATGTAAACATACAAATAAAATGGCTAAAATTATTTACAGCATTAACATACAAACCAACAATTCTCATTGTCTTAGATGCTTGGGAATCCTTGAAAGTCTTTCACAAGATTCATGAGGTCAAAATGACTTTAATTATAATATGAAAATATCTTTGGCCTTGTACACAGTGCTGACAATTGCCCTGATGGTGCACATGCAAAGGGGTAGAAAAGCTGCTGGTGTCTTAGCACAAGGAAAGGAGTAGTGGGCAGTGGCCCTAGATGGGACCAGCAGTCATGGTAACCTTTACTGCCACACATGTGCAGTTAAAAAAAAAGCTAATTTCAGTAAAGAAAGTAAAGCAATAAGAATTATTAGCTTTTATAAAATTTTCAGCCTTGATTACATGACTTAATGAAAGGAATTTTAAAATAATAAAATATGTCAACATGTGGAATGCCTGCATAACTCCATGAACCCATATGTTCTGTATGACAAGGACAGAATTTTGCAAAATCTCACATGGGAACAGAGACCAATTCAAAACAGGCCAATGCATTTTAGTTCAATGAAGTTTAATTTAGAGTATGAAAAGCACACTGAGATCATTTTAGATTCCAACTGACATTCAAAGCACTACCACTTGTCCAGTTTCGGTGCAGTATCAAAAAAAATGTTCACAGTATCTGAAAAGGATATAAAATACTCCTCCTTTTTCCAGCTTCATATATGTGTCAAACCAAATTTTCTTTATATTCTTCAACCAGAACAACAAACTGAATGCAGAAGCAAATATGAGAATACAGCTGTCTTCTATTAAGCCACATATTAAGAAGATTTGACAAAAAGTAAAACAATGCCACTCTTCTTCACATTTTTTTATTTTATAAAAATAGTTAATTTTCATAAAAATATTTATATTATTCTCTATTATGCTTATTATTATTTTTGCAAGTGAATTAATCCACATTTAAAAATTTTTTGTTTTAATTTCTAATGGGATAAATATCAATAGCTATAATCCACATTAAAAAAACTCCCTTTGGGATTCTCAGTAATTTTTAAAAATGGAAAGGAATCCTGAAACCAAAAAGTTTGAGAATTACTGATGTAACAAAAAAGGGGCTGAGATATAGGGAAAAAAAAGAATGAGAAGAGAGCCACTTGAAAAGGGGCTATTAGAAACGTTTCTTTGATCCCAACATTGAAGTTGAGATGTTTAGAAGTTGGAGTCAAATGCAGTTGTGGTCCAGCAGCAGCAGCTGCCAGCACACTTCAGAAACCAAATTACTGGGCCCCAAATCAGGCCTACTGAATGAGACACTGGGGTGGGAGGAGCAATCCATGTTACAGTCAGTCCTCCAGGTGAGTCTGATGTATGAAGACATATGAGAGCCAACCCAGAGTGGGAGAGAAGGAAGCAACGTTATTTATGTGCAACATCCGAAGTGTTATGATGGAGGTGATTTTCTGGGGACAGAAGGAAACAACATTCACCAAGACTAGGAAGTGAAAGGCACTCTCTCTCTAAAAGTGACCTAAGTTGGGTCCCAAAAGAATGATGAACAAAATAGAAACAGAGGGCCGGGCACATGAAACAAACTGACAGCTGTCAGAGGGAAGGGGAAGGGGAAGACTAGATGGAGGAAGGTGAAGGGACTGGCTGAAGAACACACATGCATAACCCGTGGGCGCAGACAGCAGTGTGGTGATGGCCAGAGGGAAGGGGGTGAGGGCCAGGGGCAGGTGGGCAAAAGGAAGGAAAATGGGGAACTCTGTAATAATATAGACAATAAAAATAAAGAAAAAAGAAATTATAGAACATGGAATAAAGTTTTTTTGTTATGTACAATAATACCACAAAATATGACAACTATAGTCATTCTTCTTACAGCTCTAAGTTTGCTTATACCATTCACTTGAGGGGGTTTCTTATGCTATGTAATGCTTAATAGCACAAAGTCAAAATAAAATATATTTTAAATAAGTTTTACCACCTATAATTGAAATAAAATTAAAGCCACAAACATTATTTTTTAGAAAGGATTGTCTTATGGTAGTGTCATGTATTTATGTATCTGTGTGTTTATTATGGTTTAAAGAAAATCATCTTCTGATAAAATATCTAGAGATACCCTATGTGGAATAATTAATTGATTCACCTTTTAAACAAATTATTGGACATTTCCACTGTGCAACACAAAATCATATTCTTCTTGTTATAAAATCATTCAAGAATTTCATCCAATGTTTTGAATGTTATGTTTCTATTTTAATATTGTAACTAAATTTACTTTTAAATAGTTAAAAAAGAAAAGCAGGAATAAGTCACCTTGGGCGCTGACAGTGGCGGAGGGTCCCAGCTCAGGCGCAGCACGTCTGTGGCGGGAAGGCACACTCTGCCGAGTGCAAGCCCTTCACCTCTAGTGTGTAGACCAACGGTCCGCAGATTTTATTATAAAATGCTAGATAGGAAAGTTAAAAATGCTTTTGAGGCTTTGTGGGCCAACAGGTAAAATCAAGACTGTTATGTAACAAGAAAAACTCCTGCCTGCTTTAACGGGGATGCGGTCCCCTAGGAAAGAGCTGGTGATGGTGGGCAAGCATGGTTTGTGCCCAGCACCGCTCAGCCAGAGACATTCTCAGGGCGAAGAGCAACCTGCCTGAGTAGGAAGGGCTGGCAGGTGGGATGGTCACTTTCATTCTCCCCCAGGATGCTCAGATCCCAGCACACTCTCCTCTCCAAGAGCCCGACTGTTGCAAGTTGGCAGCTGGCGGGAGGCAAGGTGACTTCACCAGACTAGGGCTTCACTGCTCAGTGCCCTGTAGTTGCCAGCAGTAGAGTCCCCAAAGTGTAGGTGGTGAGCAGCAGGTCCCTGAGCAGTGGCTAGGCACAGCAGTGGGCTCCAGAGGCAAGTGCTGAGAGGAAATGAGGGACTTGGGGCACAGAGAGTGACCTCAGCTGGCTTCCCCAGGCCCACAGTGCTTGCCCAGTGAGGCCCACCTCCATAGGTGCTGACCATGAGCCTACCGAAACAGGGAGGGAGCCAGATTTGCATTGGAGATTAGTTTTACCAGCCTCTGGTGTGTATGAAGTATCTGGGATCTTGTCAAAATGCAGGTGCTGATTCAGTAGGATGGGGATGGGGCCTGAGATCCTGCATTTGTAACAAGTCCACATAGCAGCTACTAGTTCACAAACCACACACTGGGTAGCAATAGCTCTGTAGCTACAAACTGGGGAGAGAGTGGAAGTAAGGTAGAAGCAGTCTGGCTGAATCGCTGGTGGGTTTAAACAGTAGATGCCTGGGCCTCAGACCAAAGGTGTTTAGCATCTCTGAGTGTCTGGGCAAAGACAAGGCTTTTAGCGTGAAGTGGGTACTCAGTGCATATGTTAGGTAACAAAAGATGGTACAGGATTTTATTTTGTTTTCATAGAAAACCCTTATACCGGTGTGTTCAATCAATGATAAAATAAAATGATAAACAAAGGTGCCAGATGGTTTCTAATCTGCAGGTGTCACAAAAATCCAAACCATTTTTAGCACCAGTGCATGGAAGCCTCTTTTCCTGCCGTTCACACAAACCTTTATGCAGGTTTACACTTAAATAAATCCCACTTGTTTTACATGTGAGTTCATACCAAGAAAATTCTACAACTGCCCATGGATAAATTACAATTTAAGTAGACATCTCAATGGGTAGGTAGCTAAATTTATTTGCAGAGAAATTGATGAACTGATCCTAAAAACTCATGGAAATGTTAAGGGACTTGGAATGGCCAAAGAAACCGTGAAAAAGAAGAATAAAGTAGGATTCACACTTCCTGATTTCTAAATGACTAAAAAGATACAATAATCATGGCAGTATGGTACAAAGCATGTCATGCAGCCTAAAGATAGACATTTGGAACAACAGAATAGAATTGAGAGTCCCAAAATAACTTTACATTTACAGTCAATTGATTTGCAACAAAGATACCAGGAAAATTCAATGGGGAATAAATGGTCCTGGAATGGTATCGGCACAATTGGCTATCCATATACAAAAGAATGAAGTTGGTCCTCTACCTCACGCCATATACAAAAGTTAACTTAATGTACAACAGACCTGCATATATATCCTATAACTAAAACAGTTAGGAGAAAACAAGGAGGTAAATCTTTATTGTGTTGGGTTAGACAGTGGTTTACAGATAGAACAACAAAAGCACAAGCACAAATGAAAAAATTAAATAAATTGCATTTCACTAAAATTAAAAATGTTCTATAAATGATACCTTTGAGAAAGTATAAAACAACTACAGAATAGGAGAAAGTATTTGCAAATCATATAAATGATAAGAAATTTGTATCCAAAATATATAAAGAACTGTTACAACTAAACAATAAAAAAACAAATAACTCAATTAAAAATGGTCAAAGAATATAAACAAAAGTTTCTCCAAAACAAATATGCACATAGCCAACAGTGCATGACAGGTGCTCAGCATCATTAGTCACTACGGAAATGCAAATCAAAACCACAATGAGACACCACTTCACACACACTAGAATAACTATAATAAAAAAGACAAATAATCACAACTGTTGGCAAGGATATAGAGGACTTGGAACCCTCATACACTGTGGTGGAAATACAAAATGGCACAGACACTTTGGAAAGCAGTTTGATAGTTTTTCAAAAGGTTAAACATAAGAGTTATTATTATGTGACCAGTAATTCTAATTTCAGGTATATACCTAAAAGAAATGAAAACACATGTCCACATAAAAGCTTGTACACCAATGTTTACAGCAACATTATTCATAATATCCCTAAAGTGGAAACAGTCCAAGTGTCCATTACTGGACAAATACATAAAGAAAATGTGGGATACTCACACAGTGGAATATTATTTGACAATGAAAAAGGAACGAGGTGCTACTACATGCCATAACATGGATGAATCTTGAAAATATGCTAAGTGAAAGAAGCTAGTCACAAAAGACCACATATTTTAAGATTCTATTTATGTGAAATGTCCAGAATAGGCAAATCTATAAAAATAGAACATTGATTATTGCTTGCTTAGCACTAGAATGAGGTAGGGGTGGGAAGTGCCTGCTAAAAAATACAGGATTTTTAGCCCTGGCTGGTGTAGCTCATTGGATTGAGAGTGGGCTGCAAACCAAAATGTTGCTGGTTTGATTCCTAGTCAGGACACATGCCTGGGTTGCAGGCCAGGTCCCCAGTAGGGGGCACATGAGAGGCAACCACACATTGATGTTTCTCTTCCTCTCTTTCTCCCTCCCTTCCCTTCTTTCTAAAAATAAATAAAATCTTTAAAAATATATTTTTTAAAAGTACAGGATTTCTCTTTGTGGTGATAAAATGTTCTAAAATTAAATAGTGGACGGTGATGCTTTGACAGCTTTGAACATATTAAAAACCATGAATTGTGTACTTTAAGTAGGTGAATTCTATGGTATGTAAATTATATCTCAACAAAGCTGTCTATAAATGATACTATAAATTAGATGCTTTCTTAAAAGAACAAAAAAGTTATTTGTAGAAAACATACACAATTCACAAGCCTACCACTGACTACTAAAATTTAGCAAATTTTTCTTCACATGAATCCCTGTATATCTAAGTGTGCCTGAATCTCTATCTTCCTGGTACAGGTGTCACAATGTAACAAAGTAGCCAAGAAATATAAACTCTAATGAATATGAATAATCTAGAATAACAGCAGCAAACATCTGAAGACAAGAATAATACAGCAATACTCACTGTCTTGTTTTAAAGAGACTCACTCAGTGCCGGCAGGAAGTCCCAGCAGCCAGTCTTGTTGTTTAGCACCATGGAAACTGACCCCTCCTCTCTTCCTCATTAAAGCCTGTCAATTATCCTCAGCTTCACTGGGTGGTAACTCTCTAGTGGATGCGGACTGCCCCTCTGCTTTGCACTGAAACTGGTCAGCAATTCCAGTCTGTTTCCACAGTCCAAGTGTGGTCCCTGGCATGTTAATTTCAAATGGCATTTAATCAAAAAAACATGAAAATTGGAAAACTGATGGGCAGTCCACAGGACAGTGTGGAGTAGTGGGGGACCAGGTGCCCTCCTCACATTCAGGACCAGCTGGGAGAACTTGGACAAAGCCCTTAACTTTGCTGAACCTCTTATCTCACCAGTAAAATGAAGTTTTAACATCTTTCCCTAGGGCTGTGAAAGATGAGCAGCTGAAATAATTTATGAAGCTCCTGGCACAGGGTAGAGGGAGGGAGGGAGGAAAACTTTAGGTGCTTTCTCACCTCCCCTTTCTGCTCCCTTACTCTAAGCATCTACTATCTTTATGATGATGCTACTCTAAAGAGACGTTCTTCCTCCCTCTCTCTCCCCTCCGTCCCTCTATCCCATACTTCCTTTCTCCTCTCACTTCTACTCCTCCTCCTATTCCTCTTCCTCCTCCTCTCTCTCTCTCTTATCCTTTCTCTCTCTCCTTTTTTCTTTTCCTTCCTACATGTATTTTTGTATTTGTTTTCTTACTACCTTTCTCCCTACAAGTATTTATTTTCTTTCTACCTTTCTTCCCACGGGTATTTATTGAATGGCTGGTATCTGCCAGACACTGTGCTGGGCCTTGTGGAGAACAAGGCAGTCATTGTCCTCTCTTCCTTGATCTCAGAGTACAGAGAAAAAGACAGGCAATAAGAAAACAAATAAATGTATACATGTAAAATTACAACTTCTGTAAGTTTCATGAACAAACAACATGCAATGGCAGAGAGTAATGGGAGAAGAGGGCAATCATGGGTGTCCTGAAGTAGTGATGTTTGACCTGAGACCTGGCATGCAAGAAGGTAAGCACCTGAGGTGCTAGGGCAGGTGTTCCAGGCAGAGGGAGGGAGACAGTTTGGATTAAGTGAGAAACAAAGAAGAGGAGGGTGCAGCTGGCTTACAGGGTGTGGGGCAAGTGGAACAAGATAAGATGAGTTTAGCATAAGCAAAAGCTAGATCATTCAGAGTCTCCAAGGACACAACGAGGATTTTACATTTTATTCCAAGGACAAGGGGAAGTCATTGAAAGGTTTTAAGCAAGGAACAAGATGGGGCAATTTATTTATATATATATTTTTAAGGTGACTTTGGCTTCTACTTGGGATAGAGGCTGAAGGGAAACAAGATCAAAAGCAGGAAGATCACTGAGAAGGCTACTGCTCACATCCAGACAGGAAAGAGTAGTGGCTTGTTGTGTTTGGCCGTGGAGATGCAGAGGAAAGATTGAAATCAGAAATTATTTGGGAGGGAATATTAACAGGACTTATCGATAGAGTCTACATGTGCGGTGAGGCAGATATGGAAATCGAGGATGATTGTTGGACTTCTGATTTGACCACTTTGGTGTGAAGGTGGTGACTTTTGATGGGGTAGCAATGACTAGAGGGGGGCCAGGCTTCGATAGCAAAAGGATAGTTTAAATTAAATGTTCTGTTTTGAATGTGTTAAGTTTTGAAGTGCCTGTAAGGCATCCAAATATTGAATAGGAGTCCAGAGTTCTGTGATACCCATTGGCAGATGTCAGCACATAGGTGGTATTTGAAAGTATAGGGCTATGTAAGATAAACCAAGGATATAGCAAGTACAGGAAGGAAGGAGACCCAAGCTCTGAGGCCTGGCATCAGTTAGAGATCTGGAAGCAAAGGATGAATTATCAAAGCAGATTAAGAAGCACTGTCAGAGAGGTTGGAGGGAAACTGGGTGAATACAGCTTCACAGAAGCTATAGGCTAGAAGGAGTAATGGTCAGCTGCATCAAGGAGGGCAGAGTGTAATGAATGCCTATGCCAGTGTGGAAATATTCCTGTGAGATCCCTTGCTCACCCTCAAAGAACTCAGTATCTTAATACGCTTTCTAAACATCAGAACAGTTCCAATTCAGCTTGACTTTATTCAACAAATACATATTTGGTAAGCAACTAATGAGTGTGGAATGATGCAAGGATGCAAGGACAGAGCCCTACCCTCAAGGAACCTGCACTCTAACAAGGATCCACTCATAAAAAGTGGTGCTGTTGTCATCCGCAAACTGCGTGCATCTGGGGCCACAGCTCCTACATGGTTCCTTCCCTAACACGCATGTTGTTCACTTTGTGAAAGGTCACATTACCTCACTTTGCTCTTATGAAAAATCTATATTAGTACCTATTTTTGCTAACCGGAGAAATCCAGAGAGGATTTTCATTTTTTACAGAAAAAAGGTGAAAAGGGTTGGTTTTGCAGCAGCCATTAGAGAGGCCGCGTGCACCCCAAGCAGCGAGAGTGGCCTCCTGGAGCTCCTTCCCTGGAAGCACGCTCAGCGTCCGGCACCGAGCCACCAGAGCTCTGAGCTGTGTCTGGGAGCATCTGTGCTTCATCCCCACTTACTTTGTGCATCTGTTAGCAAGATGAGCTGTAAGATATCATTCACAGAAGCCTAAGAGAGCACATAAGAGTGTTATGCTTAGCATAAAACCAGATGTAATTAAGCGTGTTTGGTGTAACTTGGTAGGCTATTTTGAGGTCTGGGAATACTCAAAATTTTTCCTATATAAATTAGTGGTCCCTCTATCTTTGCTTACACCATTTCAGCTTACTAAAAGTTTTATAGGAAGCTCCAGTTTTGGATAGCACAGAAAACCTGTAATAGGTTTCTGACCTTCAATCTTTTGACAAGCCATGAGCTGGTCAGGAAGTGAGGCAACCAAAGGGAGAGGTCCCCAGGATTTCTTGTAAGTCAAGGGTGAGGCAATGAAAAAATGCCTAAAAAGAGTATGCTTTGATCTAATTTTTAAAAAAATTTTGACACAAACAGCACACAAAGCCATATAAAAGTAAGATGAAGATAAACCTTACCTTACAAAAATATTAATTCTTTGTATACAACTAGTAGTAGTAGGATCTGCTAATGGGATACTGAATTTGTGTGCTAACTGCCTTTCAATGTGACCTCATAGTTGATGAGTAATTTCATCTGGGATTAATGTCAAAAATCTATTCTTAAGTGTCTCTTGCTCATGTCATGATAGGCAACAGAGTCACCAGCAAATATCTGTGGGCCAGCCATTGACCTTTGGTCACACTGACTCAGGCACTGGGACTAAAATTCCTGACCAAGGTGACTTCCATGGAGTCTTTTCCTCCATAGAATCAAATCCATTTTCATATCAGGATCAGACTCTAGAAATCAGGATTCAAAAATTCATTTTATGGATGAGAATATTGAGACCCACTGACATGAACTTATTTAATGAAAGTCACACTGCTACTGGGTTTTAATTCATGTCTTACAATCCCCCACACCATAGTTAAGTTCAGCATGTAGGGTAGATGTACAGTGACCACAAGTTCAAGTGAGGACCAGGCAGCTTTGCCATTCCTTTGCACATTTACTGCTTATTATTGAGCCTTCCTCCGGACACTGTGAATTGACTCTCCTCTACCTCACTTCAATTCTAAAGAAGATGATAATAACAAGTCCATGTAGGCTTTGATCTCAGTGCTTCAACATACATTAACAAGTTTAACCATGTGGGGCCAGTACAAGTATTATCCCTACCTTACAGAAGAACAAACTAAGGCAATCAAATAAGGCCTAAGTCAGTGACAAAGCTAGTCACGGACAACCCAGTGACTTTGGACAACCCAAGTACTTTGTTTATAGTAACTATGGCCTTATCTACTTAGTTGTATTGTCTCCTGAGATGATAAGTCAAAATCACATGCTAGAGTTATTGAAGTTACTTCTTTTCTCCCTAGGAAAATATATTGGTATTTCAAACCAATACTGGTGAAAGAGGCAGTACAGTGAGGTGGACAGAATGATGACATAGGAACTGGGAGTGGCAAGAAGGAAATGAAATATTTGTTGAATGTCTTCATGCATCAAGCATTGTTCTAAGTGTTTTATGTGTATTAACTCATCAGTCCTAACTAAGTCGGAGATATAGATAGTTTACAAGCAAGGAAATGGAGGCTCAGAGAGCTTGAGCATGCTTAGACCAGGGCTATCTATTTCCTGTTGAGGATGGGACAGCTGATCAAACCCAGGCCTGCGTCTGAGACTAGGAAGGTGAGAGTAGGGTTTCATGTGTGGCTCCCAAATCATTTGTTCCCTTCTGCCTACATATATCTTGTAGGGTCTTCCCTGGGGCCTCCTAGTCAGGAAGAAGGACTTTGGTTGACATTTTGGACCATCCCTGGGATTAGACTGGAGAAGGGGGATAAACTGGGCCTGGGATTCCAGCATCGCTGCTGATCAGCACAAAGATGTGTGCCAATACAGAATGAGGCTTATGGAATCTTGTTCTGCAGAGTGAGGATTTCCAGATTGTCCATATTTTCTCTAAGGTGTTATCTTGTCATCTTGTATCATTTAGAGACGTAGCTATGTTTCCCTTAGCCTCTACTGGGTGCTGTGTAGCCTGAATGTGGGGTCTACATAGCTCTCTCATATAATCCAAAATGCCAACTTTTGGATTATATAAGGGCTTATATAAGGACTCTGTGTCACTGTCTATGTACATAATATCCCTTCCACATAGCAGTCTGTCCAGGTGATGCCGAACAGCAAGTGGGACTCTGCTGCCCACCACCACCCTCTAGGCAAAATTCCAGAGGCAAAGGTTTGGTGATGAAGGAAAGAAGTCTTTATTCAAAAGGTTCACAATTTTGGAATAACAGCTTTCCACATGCATTAGTCACTTCAGCCTATCAATTAAGGCCAAACTCTTTAACATCTGAGTTCTATCATTTCCTGTGTTAGTTTTTAATTATCTTACTTATACAAGGTTAGTTTACAAAT